AAGTAGTGCATGCTACTTTACTAAAAAAAAAAAGACACCACTGCATACAATGCAAATTTTATTGTGCAATCTATTTACATAAATTCCAGTTCAGACTTCACCCCCCTCCCCCAAAAAGTGAAGTGTTGTAAAATACCCTTAAGCCCCAGGAAATACTTAAACCTCACATTTATCTTCAAACACTACAAAGTTTAGAACTGCTGAGGACAGAAGGTTACTGTACACCAATGCTTCATACTGAAAGTGGCACAGATCACCAGTATAGGTTCAGGACTAGAAACAAATTAGGATAATATAACTTCGATTATCTTCACTCATCTCCTTAACTGCTTTGGAGTCCAGAGTATTTGAGTGTTATGATTTTAGAGGGGATTTGGTCATAAGTGTTTACAAGTCTGGAACTAAAGATGACCTGTGCTTAAATGTTAAGCATTAGAATTTACGTCCAAATTATAAAAAAGCAGGGACTGATCCCTTAAAGATTTAAAAAAATAAGTAAAGATGCTTGCATAGCAATCAATCCTGCAGAGATATTTAAGAATCATTCTCTGGAATAGGCTTATAAAAAAAAGCAGGGTAGGCCTTAAACATTTTCAAATTGAAGTCCAGGTGTTGGTATAAAAAAAAAAAAAAAACTTTAAAAGTTGCTCCAACTGACTGACTTTCATATTTGCTTGTTACTTCATTTACTCAAAGCTAAATAAATGCCAGTTTACACCCACAGAGCTCAGACAACAAACAGAGGGCAGCTTTCCAGCATAACGGATTACATAGGGCCTTCAAGTTGCTACCACACTTCAACTTTTGAAAAGTGAAACAGAGGTTTTACTTAACTACATTATGAATGTTCATCAGTCACTGCTAAAGTAAGATTGAGAAAAAGATTACCCACCTGTAATTTCTACTCCATTAGTGATACAAAAATATTTACAAATATACACACAAGATTTCCACCACTTGTTTCTGAACCACTGTGCTGTGTTTTCATATCTGGAAAAAACCTAATGTGAAAATTAGTATTTTTAAAATGCTTAAAAATATACTGAACCTGATGCAAGGATTTCAGACATCACTTCTGGAAATAATGCATTTGCCAATAGTTCACAAGGCAGTGAAAGGTACTAGTGTGCTCAGAAAGATGCACTTAGGTGAAAAATTTAAAAAATAAGCGGTTTTCTTCCTTCTTGATAGGAACCCATTGCCCATAGGGATTTTGCTTTGTATCTTCTTTTCCCAAGGATACTGTTGGCTCTGTAGCAGAGGGACTTCCTGGTTTCTGGAGTACTGGCTTTGCCACTGTGTTCTAGAAAGAGATACTTGTTTCAGTGACCAGTTTTAAAAATTGAAGATCCACAATGCTACAGTTTACAAATCTATGGCTTACTTCTAAACGCTCTTTCCTTCAGAGCTCCTAAACTCACTAATTATATCCCTAAACACCACATTTCTCTGAATTACCTAGCTATATTATAAGAGGGTAGGTAGTAAGAGGAACTCAATTGACTTCCAATGTTAGGTTCAAAGTACTACACACATGCAAGTAACTTGGAAATCAGTATTTTCCATCTTAGCTATATGTACTTACATTAAGGCTGAAAGATATGACTTTTGTTGTGGGAGCTCTCAGTTCCACTTTTGGTTAAGTCTTCTGTTAGTCTTCTGGATTGCTAAAGAAGGAGGCTCAGTTTAAAACATGGTTACAGATGTTCTATGTGAACTAAGGAAATTCTCTAGAGTATGTGAATATTCTAGTATAAATTCTCTACTTTACTGATCAATAGTAGCTTAAATTATAGAGTACTAGAATGCACATACTGATCAGTGTTGATAACTCAAATTAGGAAAGTTTTGGAATTTATCAATACAATTGTGTCAATGTACATGATATAAGGCTATACATATACATGTTTTAGCTTTAGAGAATTTAAGTGATAATTGACTAAGCATGGACTTCACAAACTGAAATGGAATTGTTACAGCAAGCTGTGTGTGAACCCTGTATCCACCCTGCAGAGCTTTGGAGAAGGACAATAAACTTATCTGCAAGTGATGCAGGCCTCTTCTTCTGTAATCTCTCAATATCTGGAATATATTACATACATTATGCCTGTGCCATTTATGTAGTTGTCTAAGAAACCCTTATTAATTTTACTTTGACACAAAAGTTTGGTAGCTTGCTATGTAGTTACTATTGTAGAGATCATCCGACCACATGTAAAACATTTAACATTTCTAGTACAGCGCCAGTTAAACCTGAATAAGTTACTTCTTTTCCCTCCCTTAATTCACAGTAACTAGAGCCCACAAGTCCTTTAATTACCACCAGATTTTCTTCATCAATGTCTGGAGACCATATTCATGATTTCTATAAGACAGAAATACAGCATGTAAAATGCATTTGGGGTCTGGGTATGAGATGTCTGGGCACAATTTTGATGCACATGAAAACTGACAGTTAAAGATCATCTTTACAAAATCCTAATAGGCTTTGGCAAGTGACTCCCTAATTGTTTTAGGCTTTGGCAAGTGACTCCCTAATTGTTTTAGGGCAAAAACAGATCAGCCAATGAAACTGGCACTTCCTATAGACTGGCAATTTCTCTCTCCTAACATGCCATTAGTGGCAAGTTTGTAGGCAGAGAGAGCAGCCAACCAGGTATGCAGTAGGTCTACAAAAGTTGTTGGCATCTTGGTAAGTTTAAAAGCTTTTTGATGTTTTGTCATGAAGTAGTACTTGAAAATTTAGACACTTTGCAATGGAAAGCAAAGGCAAACAGCTTTTCATGCATGTCATGTCAGTAGCATAGGCCTTAAAAAAAGATGTTTACCTTTAAATCTAGATTTCTCTAGTACATAATTACCTCAGACTCCACAGAATCTTCGCTTCTGCATTTTCCACCATTTGTCTCTTTGGATGTGCTGCAGACTCGCAAGCTAGCTGGCAAGACTATGTTATCTGTTCCCAGGGCTTTTGCAGCATTAGCCTTTGCAATTTCTAGGAGTTCCCGCCTTTCTACATTTAAAAAAAAATCTTCTGTTAAGATAATCCTGGTGTAGTGACTAACACAAAAAGAAACAGACCAGTGCAAGTCATTTTCCTTTGGAAAAAGCATGTTTCCAAACTAAAAAACTTAGATACTACACCCTTATTAAACATAGTTAATATGGCAATTCTAAAAAGAACATAACATGGGGCAAAGCAATCCCAGTCAGAGTGGTAGCAGAGTTAATCTGTAGCTTTAAAAAAAAAAAAAAAAAAAAAAAAAAGAGTAGTCCTGTGGCACCTCAGAGACTAATTCAAATATTTTAATATGAACTTTCATGGGCAAAACAACACCCACTTTATTTCTCTCCAGCTCATCTGATGAAGTGGCTTTACCCCCCAAAAAAAGTCAGCTGACCTTCTAAGACAGAAATACATCCCTGAGTCTATATGACTCTAGCAACAGGAAAAGCCTGCAAGTGAGTCAGTCTTGAGTTCATCTGCTTCCTAACATGGATGGGAAGGAATAGTATAGCTACTCCGAGTGTAAATACCTTTTTCACTTAAACGCAGAGGTGTTCTACTATGAGATCTTGTTCGTGATCTGCTTCTCCAACTTCTGTAAGCCTCAGGATATATGGTTCTCCCAAATCCATAGTATCTTCGACCTCTTGATCGTGATCTGCTCCTTGAAAAACTTCTATAATATGGTCTTCCACGAGACCATGACCTTCCACGAGACCTGGATCTGGTACGTGATCTGTATCTTGGAGGAGAACGATGATATCTCCTGTACATCCTAGGATGGTACCTTCTTCTGTATTGAATGCTACGTGATCTTGACCAACTTCTGGAATACGATCTGGAGTATCTTCTATACCTTCTGAAACCATTTCTTCTAGCTCGTGATCTTGATCTGCTTCTGGACCTACTCCAACTCCTTGAGGAAGCTGAAGTGCTTGAACTAGAACGTGAACTGTAAGATGATCTGCCAGATGATCTTGATGATCTGCCAGATGATCTTGATGATCTGCCAGATGATCTTGATGATCTGCCATGACTAGTATTAGACTTTGAGCGACTCTCTCTCCCCCTTGGTGAGCTGAGAGTTAAGTCATCCATGTAGTTTGTCATAGCCTCTGTCTTTGTGTTTGCCTTCAGTTTATCTGAACATCCAGTTTCAGTTCCTGTTTAAAAAGATTGGTCTAACATTTATTCCTTGCCAAGACAAGCTAAAATCCAAGTTGTAACTTTGTCTTCTACAACTCACAAGCCTTGTATAGCTAGAAGTGAAAAACGTAAAAGCTGTTTGGCAGTCTTACTTCTGCCCTAGTTCTGTTTCAAATTTCTCTTAAGAGTTTCTCCCTGGCTTCCACATGCATTTCCATAAATGACATCAGAATGTGGCTAAATTCCCTAAAAAGCATACGGCTAATACCTAGTTATTTTGTGCAAAGTGAGATACTGCATTTAATTGGTTGTGCCATTTAATTGTGATTTTTTACAGATGTTCCAACAAAACTATTTTCAGTTTCTAAAGGGTTATTTTACATGGGGGAAAAGAATTTGTTGTGAAATGCCTTTGCCCAATGAATAATCCCAGTAAAGACATCAATTTATACACAAATACTAGAAATGTTAGTTTGCATTCTTAGCTCTAGTAAACACACAGAGCTAAGATGGCTGCCATCATAGCAACAGCTGCCACTGTTTTGGTTCAGTTATTAAGATGGTAGTGCATTCTAAAGAAATACTCCCTATTTCCACCTTTTAAGTCCTCTCTTGCTTTTATTATAACTGCCACCTTCTTCTGCTTGAAGGAACTCCAGTGAGGACTACATACAAATGCCAGAAGTGAATGAATTAAGAATTTATGGAGCAAATCTTAGGACTTTATCACCACACCACCCACAAGCACAAAGCCTTTTTATTTCCCTCAGTATTAATATGAATAGCTTCATTTGCATATCCAACTTTGCCTTTAAATAAATGCAAAGGTTGCAAGTCCTGGAGCAGGGTGCACCTAGAACAGGGAGCCCCGCAGTGAAAGCTGGGTTCAGTGCTGCATGTGTTCAGAGAAACCAATCATTTGCATATCCAACTTTGCCTTTAAATAAATGCAAAGGTTGCAAGTCCTGGAGCAGGGTGCACCTAGAACAGGGAGCCCCGCAGTGAAAGCTGGGTTCAGTGCTGCATGTGTTCAGAGAAACCAATGTTGGCATCTCTACCCCCCCCCCCCATGGCCCCAGGGGCCCCCCCCC